GTAATTTCAAGCCTCTCTCCCTGAGTAAACTCTCCCAGAGATCTGTATCTGAACCATCAGGTTGTTGCTGACTCACCTGTGCTCCAGCTCATCCAGCTGTCTTTTTCCTCCAGGCTCCGCTGTTACTCCGTCTGCCTGCCCGCTCTCCACCGTTTGGTCTCCAGCCCACCTTTGCAATCCACAAGCCCCCTCCGGGATCGGCTCTTCTTCTGGACCAGTAAGCTTCCTCACGTTCTTTTCCCCACTTGGACAGATTCCCTTCCCGAACCCCCAATAACATCTCCTCTCCTTTTTCAGAAGCAGCTGAAGCAGCTGATCAGTCTTAACCCAGCTTGGATTCTGTTTTCTGTTCAAATAAAGAGATTGATCCTTTGAATCCTGCTTGTGATTTCCTGCATGTGGGTCAGAAAAATCCCCTCGATCATGACACTCTTTTCCATTTCTTCTATGTAAAGATTGGCTACAATTGGTGACACTTGAGATCCCATTGCACAACCATGCTTCTGTCTGTAAAACTTACCTCTGAATTTAAAATAGGTTGTGGAAAGACAAAGGCCCAGTGGTGTGCAGATCTTGTCCGGAGCAAAATTAGTCCTGTTGTTTAAGTCACTATCTTGTTGAAGATGTGTCCTGACTGTTTCCACTGCCTCTGTTATAGGTATGCATGTGAAAAGGGAAGTAACATCAAACAATACCAGGGTTTCTCCTGGTGCCATCCTTAAATGTTTGACTTTGTTAGCAAAGTCTTTGGAGTTTTCTATGTGACCTCTTGGAAAAGGAGAGGAAAGAGTCCACCAACAACCTGTCAGGGATGGATGAACCAGGAACCCAGGACCGTTCCTCCAGAACGCAGCCCACCCAGTGGACGAGGTATTGATACCCTCTACCACGCCGACGGGAGGCCACGACCCTTCAGACCTGAAGTACCAGGTGGTCCAGGGTGGGTGGAGGCGGTTCGGCCGGGGAGCAAAAGGGCTCGAGAGGACGGGCTTGATTTGGGAGACATGGAAGGTAGGGTGGGTTCTAGAATGGGACGGGAGATGGAGACAGACGGTCCAAATATCATAGGGGCCATTGAAGCGTGTTAATAATTTCCGGTGGGAAGATCTGGACAGGAGGTCTCAGGTAGAAAACCAGACTCTCTGACCGGGGTGATAGGAGGGCAGTTCAGCTCAGAGGTCCAGTTCAGGGCTTGGATGGTCTGGGTCCAGACCAGTTTGCATCGATGGATGTGGTGGGCAACGGAAAGTACAGCTATTTCCTTATGGTCGTCAGGAAACAGAGGAGGTTGGTAGCCCAGAGAAGCTTTGAAGGGGGAGATGGCAGTAGAGGTGGAGACATGACTGTCATGAGCGTACTCCACCCAGGGTAGGTATCGACACCAGTCAAAGGGATTGGAGGAGGTGAGACAACTGAGAGCAGTCTCCAGCTCCTGGTTAAGCCACTTCGTCTGACCGTTAGTGAATCGTAGCCAGAGGTGAGAGAGTAAGGGCCATGGCAAACTCCTTCCACACCTGCGAGGTGAACTGTGGACCACGGTTAGACAGAATGTCCAGTGGAATCCCATGCTGGCAGAAAACAAGCTTCACCAGGAGCTGGGCCATCTGGAAGGCGGAGGGGAGTTTTCTTAGGGGAATAAGGTGGCAGGCCTTAAAGAAATGATTAGTCAAGGTGAGAAAAATGGTCATACCTTGGGAGGAGGGTAGGCTGGTGACAAAGTCCAGGGCTATGTGGGACCATGGCCGCTCACGGACTGGAGCAAGCGTATAGCTGCAAAATTATGTATTTATTGTGCCTCCCCAAATAATTTCATTAGCGACTGCCCTGAGCTGTCAAAAGACCGGGTCCGCCGGCTGTAGCAGAGAGACCGACGGACCGAGTTAAGCTGACAGCTCCTGCTTCTCCGCGTCTGTGCTTACGTGCCGCAATTATTACTTCTCGTGAAACCTTTAAGTTTTCAGCTCTAGTTGATTCAGGGTTCGATTAATTTAATTGACTGTTCCTTCATTCAACGCTCGCAGCTCGACACTGTGCCCCCGTGCACCCCTCTCCAGGTCTCAGCCTTAGATGGCGGGGCTCTCCCTCAGATAACCCACCGTACTATAACATTTCTCAGCGACAGGCTTTGGAGAAATACATTAAGGAATCACTAGCTAATCACTAGATTAGACCCTCGTCTTCACCCCTTGGGGCTGGGTTCTTTTTTGTAGCAAAGAAGGATGGCTCCCTTCGCCCGTAACACTTACCACCTGGTCCGGATCCGTCGGGGGGACGAGTGGAAAACGGCCTTCAAGACACCGTTGGGCCATTTTGAATACCTGGTAATGCCTTTTGGGCTTGGCAATGCTCCAGCAGTCTTCCAATCCCTTGTGAACAATGTCCTCTGTGATTTCCTAAACTTTTTCGTTTTCGTCTACCTGGATGATATACTCATTTATTCACGAACCCTTTCCGAACACAAACACCATGTCCGCGTCGTTCTTCAGCGCCTCCTGGAAAATCGTCTTTTTGTGAAAGCAGAAAAGTGCGAGTTCCACAAACCCTCTGTCACCTTCCTTGGTCTTATCCTGGAAGGGTGGCATGTCTGGTCTGACCCCGAAAAGATCAGGGCTGTTCTCCAGTGGCCTGAACCCGAGAATAGAAAGAAGCTGCAGAGGTTTTTAGGTTTCGCTAACTTTTACCGCCACTTTATCCGTTGGTACAGTCAGATCGCCGCACCCCCCCCCCCCCCCCCCCCCCCCCACCTCCATGTCCTCACGTCTGTGAAGACCCCGTTCAGGTGGAACTCAGAGGCTGACTCAGCTTTAGGTGACCTTTAGGACAGGTTTTCCAAGGCCCCTATTCTCGTTCACCCAGACCCCTCCAAACAGTTCATTGTCGAGATCGACACATCCGATACTGGTGTTGGGGCTGTGTTGTCTCAGTGCTCGGGCCAGGATCAGAAGATGCACCCATGCGCCTTCTTCTCCCTTCGTCTGTCCCCAGCTGAACGCAACCACGACGTCGGCGACAGGGAGGTCATGGCCCTAAAACTGGCCCTGGAGGAGTGGCGCCACTGGCTGGAGGAGTCTAAGCAGCCAGTACAAAAATGGACAGATCATAAGAATCTAGCTTATCTCCAAACAGCTTAAGGACTCAATCCCAGACAAGCCCATTGGTCCCTATTCTTTTTCCACTTTAATTTAAGTTTAACAGGTTTAAGAATCTGAAACCCGTTGCTCTGCCTCGCCTGACTCTGTTAAGGAGCCCTCTCTCATCCTACCTCCGACCTGCACCTTTGGAGCCCTTCAGTGGGAGATTCAGGACCTCATTTCCCAAGCTCTGCCTGCTGAGCTGACCTGGGTAATGGTCCACCAAGTCTCAGGGACAGGTGAAACCGAAACAGCTGACGGCGGACCAGGGGCGGGGTCAGGCTGTGCTGAGGTTGCAGGCTGAGCGCCTGCATTCAGTAAACCTGTCAGCTGATTGTGCTGGGCGGCTACGCCCTGCAGCTGATTCTGAACGGCTAGAACAGTGGACTCTAATCTACGAATCTGATCCTGCTAGGCATTTAAATTCAAATGTGTCCACTGGGTCTGTCTGGCCAGAGTGTTCTTCTGTCATGAACGTATTTAGCCCACATGCAGACCCCATACGGAAACAGGGATCAGTTAACTGTTTATTTAGTTAAACACAAGTCCTGACAGTATGGATACCTAAAAAGTGTACTTAAATACAGTAACAAAGTATTTTTACTTTGTTACTTGAGACCTCTGCAATACAATGACCCCTAAAATGTACTCAGGTAAATGTAACTGAGCACAAGTAACTAGATAGGACCTTCTCTGGAGTCGGTAAATGAAAAGTATTCCACTTGACAACCACTGATTGAAATTTAAAGAATATGACTCTTACTGTATGTATGTACGAACCTTTACCTACCCTGATAGGTCTTGTTGAGCTTAGACATCTCTTTTTTTTTTCTTTTTTTTACGAGCAGGGCACAGTCAATTCCAAACAATTTCAGGTAATAAAACACCTTTGAAAGCAATTTTGGACAACGAGAAAAACGTACCAGAAAACAAAAAAATCCCAACATAAAATACAATACGCAACTGATTTAAACATTTACTAAAAAATTTTTTTAAACTCACTTAGAATTAACTTTAATACATCAGCAGACAACATCTTTAACTTTAAGTCTTTCAATAGTCTGAGGGAGCTGCAGACTAGATAGATTTATAGATGCATCCAACTGTAAAAATCTATACAAAAAAACAACACAGGTTTACAAAACAGGAACACCTTGCATTTACAAAAATAGTTAAAGTATTATTTCAGCTTTAAAGATGTTAGTTAACTACTCCTAGGTTTTACAAAAATACAAAATTACTTAAAAATAAAAGAAAAAAATAATTCCATTTAAAGAGCATCAACACCAAAGGCAAAAAAAAAAATGAAGAAATCAAAAAAAACTCTGGGAAGAAGAAAGTCTGTTCTACAAAGTGAGGAACTAAAGTTATCTAAAAAAAAAAAGAGAACATCAGAATCGTGTTAGCAGAGCTATTCTAAGGTGCAATCACGTTGAGCAGCACAGTTTTGGTGAAATTTAAATCTGCCTTGGAGGGTTTTTTTAGCACCACAAAATTAACCTGGAAAGCCTCTTGTACTGGTGAGCTTTTAACCTACTTGAGCAATGTCTACCATAGCGATAGACATGGGATTTTTTTGGTGGTATTAATACCAATCATGCAGATTTGTAATGGGTGTCAGTATTTTCTCAAGGCATTGCTTGAATATCTAACACTGGTTGAGATATTAGTGAACATAATAAGGATTTACATTGGCAACATATTAGGGGAAATGAAAAATGGCAAAACAGGAGAGAGAACAAGGCACATCAGAGCGAAGGGAGTCAGCCAATAAAATGGAAGGGAAAGAGACCCTGAACAGAGATACAAGGAGAGAGAGAGATAGAAAAAGAGAGACTGACAGAGGGAGAGAGAGAGAGATGAAGGAGATCCCCACTGAGAGAAAGAGAGGCTGCATGTGGAAAGCCATGGGAGGAGAGCAAAAGAGGAGAAGCATTGAGCTCTTGGTTACCATCGGAGAATAGTAAAGCAACTTGCCAGCTCTCTGGAGAAATGACAATCACATGTGAGAGGTTCGGTTTACTGATGGTTCTTAATCTTCCTCCTCCAGTTCTTTTAAAGTGTTTTGGGAATGTGCCAAGACATGGATATACGTATGCCACGTGGGAAATGTGAAGGTTCGTGGAGAAGCGTTTAGAATGGATGACATGGATGGAGACTAACTGACATTTTTCACTGGGGTACACATTTGGCCAAGGGTGAGGAAAAAAATATGTCACTGTTTTCTGTTTGAAAAGCTGTGAGGTGACATAGATTCAGTTTGAAAAGCTGTGAAGAATTTTGCTCTATTCTTTTTTTTGAAACTTTAACCTGATGTGACTTTGCAAGGGAGAGAAGACATGAGAGCAGGGGAAGTTGGGGACTCTTGTAAAATATGACAAATACAATAATGTTTACTACCCTTTCCTCTCAAAAGCTCATACCATCCTGCAGGTATGGAGATGCATTAGGATAAGAAACAGTCGGTTCAGGTTTCCTTTTTAGGGAACAAACGCACATTCTGTGCTTAGAGAGAAGCAAAGTTTTTCAAAGGCTGTTTTAACATCAAGATGAAATTTACATTTTTCTGATCATAGGTGACATTTCTAACATGAATGTGGCTTTGGCAAGGGTAGATAGAGTGCAAGGATGTGAAGGATGTGGAGCTCCACCTTCAAAAAAATTTTTCTTTTCATGAAGACATGAGTCACAGTCAGTTCTAGATTTGGATTATGCTATTTTTAAGTACTGAAAGAAGGCTACAGCGGGTTTTGGAATACCCAACTTCATGCATATTAAAGTATACTTTAGAAATCATGGATACACGGGATGCTTTGTAGTATTCTGTCAGTAAATGTTTCTGAACTTTTTTCTTTGGTTTATCTTTACCGGCGCTGAGTTGACTCTACGAACCTGCATGGCAACAACATGTCCGAAGTGATCTCTTACACTATCAGGACCTCCAGTACTCTTGAGTCTAACCCTTGGCCTTCACCTCTACCTGATAACACCTCACACTACAGGTGTAAGGTGAGCGCCTTAGCCCGCAACGGGATGGAGACCCAAACACTAAACTGGTCACAACACAATGGTGCAGGAGATTCTGGATCTCATTGTGTTCACTCTGAGTCAATGGTGGAGAAGAACTGGCCGGCGCTACTGATTTTGGTCGCCATTGGCGTCACGGTCATGGGCAACATCTTGGTGATCCTGGCGGTTTCCCTGGAGAAAAAGCTGCAGAACGCAACCAACTACTTTTTGATGTCACTGGCAGTGGCTGACATGCTGCTTGGCATTTTGGTGATGCCGGTTTCCATGGTGACCATCCTCTATGGTAAGCCAATCATGTCACTTGCATTTGTCATTTATTAACTTGTCTTTTGGTCTGTTGCCTGTTGACTCCAATGAGCTTCTCAAATCCTTTGGAAAAATTTTATCCAAAGCCTAAACAAAGGTTTCTTTTTCCTGATTTTAATCACTTTTACTGCATGTTAAAATTATTATTTTTTTGGCTGTTTGTGAAAGAAAAACTTTAGAATTCATGTTTGGCCCTGTGACAGTGGTGAAAGACACCAATAGCAGAGATTTGTTTGAGTTACAAAAAGAGACACATCTAGAAGGTGAAGATTGAAGTGACTTGGTGGATGCCTGAAAAAGTGTCTAAAGTGTGAAGCTGCTTGAGCGATGAGTGGAAATACACTATGTACATTTAATTAATCTACCAGTAAAAATTGTAGTCTCTATCAACATACATTTGGAACTCATTTATGATGCGTTTTATGACAATGCTATTTGACTGCCTTAACTAGAATGTGAGTTAAGACTTAGAAGAGTTTGCAGGAAGCGAATATGGTAACCTGATTTCATGTTTTGGGGATAGGCGGCTGATACCCATTGAGGCATCACATACAATATCTGATAGGGGAAAGGAACACCTTGAATAAAAATATTTTATTATTTAAAATTAAGCAATGTCTCTGGGCTTTATTCAGGAATAAACTCCTGCTGTTTCGGTCCTTTTGAATTAAATTGTATTCTGTACAAATGTTTAATGAAGTTGTCTTCTGTAATTTGTAAAAGATGATATCATAGAAAAAAAGTAGTATATTTAAGCTGAAAAGTGCCATCAGATATAATGATAGGCTTTGAAATCTTTTTTAGTGCCAGTACAGGCTCAATTTGTAAGGTACAAGCTCAATTTGTAAAAGGATGGGCACATCCTCAGTATTTACTTTATTTTTTTTCTTTGTTGTTAGAAACAAAGTCCTTCCAGCTCAGGGCTGTAACTACCATTGAGGATACTGAGGTCATGTCCTCTGTATTTTTTCTATTTATTTTCTTGCCTAAATTGTGATATATATGAACTCTAAAAATAAATTAAACTGAAACTGAAAGTATAGGATGACAATCTAGGTCTCCCACAAAACTGCAAGGTCTATTATATTTAAAGAGGCAAGAGTACCGCTACTATCTAATAAAAAAGAAGCTTGAGGATCTCGGCATACGTGCTGCGTACCGTCAACATGCACTGTCGCTATGGTAACTGCTACATAGGCTACAGATGCCATAAGTGAGTCTGTCAGTCACGGCAGTCAGTGGAAGAGGAGCACATCAAACTACAAATGTAGGTGGAGAGTAGGGCTGCAACAACGAATCGATAAAATCGATAAAAATCGACTTTTAAAAGCGTTGGCAACGAATTTCATCATCGGTTAGTTGTGTCGCGCGATTAATGCGTCATCCGCCGCCGTCATCACATCCACTTGACTGAAGCGGTGGAAGAAGAAAAAATACAGCAGAGCGAGCCAGCGCCGCAGGTGCAGTGTTGCCAACTCAGCAACTTTTCAGACCCCTCCAGCGACTATTTTTCAAAAAAGCGACTAGCGACAAATCTGGAGACTTTTTACGGTGTCACTGGCGGCTTATGGAGACTCTTACGTGAAAGCATGTATCGTTCCTACTCTACCGTGGGGCGCCTCCCCCCGCTCCCGCAGGAGTCCCTCTCAGCGCTGCAGTCAGAGCAGCAGGATGTTTACCCTCAGCGTCCAGACTGCAAATGAAGCGCGCATGCACCGGGATTGACGGCGCAAATTGATCACAATAATTAAAATAGCCTGCGCTTTGTACAATGAAAAAAGTCGTAACATGCAACTTTTGTAAAACAAATTAACATGGCACGGAACCACCATGTTTGTTTTGTTTTAAAGTGGGGAAACGTAACGTTAGTTTCTCAGGTAGCTCATCTGATGCTTTCCTTACCGTGTTGGTAGGTTACAGACAGTGATAAGGTTGGCTACTTATTTTACTTTTAATTTCATTTGAATTAGCTTAAGCAGCGTTTATATTTACTTTATAAATAAATTAACTTGCAAATTATGAGGGCAAGGCTTTTAAAGTTTAAATCTTCTGGCAAAAATAAAGTAAAGATCCTGCAATTTATGGAAGTAAAGCAGAATAAAATCCAGCAAGATCAGTAATATGTCAATTAAATATATGCCACATTTCCATGTAAATATCTGTCTTTGGAGGATGTGTTTTTTAGCACCCCTAGTTCTCTCATTTTTTTTCCAAATACAATATATAATTTGAATCACAGGGCTATTTTTGTCTCTATGGTTAAGTATTTTCTCAAGTAGCAACTTTAACTGCTATACTTGCCTGTCTTAAAAGGCAGAACTCTATTAGTCTAAAAAAACCTCATTTGTTGAAATGGGGGGGCCTATTGTTTGAACCCCTTAGGGGCTTTTAAAAAAAATGTCTTTTTTTGCACTTTATGAAACAAAGTACCCTATATTTTGTGGATGTACAGCTACATTTCTCATGTAACTTTGCGTAGTTTTAACACAAACATTTATTTTTCATATTGCACCAGTACAGTTAATAAGCAACCTGTACTTGTGTGCTTGTTTGTTCTGTCTAGAATGTTTATTTTGGAATAAAGAGGTTAATATAAAAAATATTTTTTGTCCGATTCATCAATTAATCGAAAAAGTAATCGGCCGATTCATCGATTTTTAAAATAATCGTTAGTTGCAGCCCTAGTGGAGAGCAGTTAAAGTTCCTGATGATGGTGGGAAAAAATACTGCATTTTAATGAGGAAATATTCAAGCCCAGCAAGCTACACACACACAGCAAAGGAACATCGCACTGAAGTTTAATTAACTCTATCAGTACCGTCTGTCAGTCAATTTCCAGCAGTTGAATCAACATACATTATGCATCTGATATGTTAGTTATGGTTAAGTGTTAACTTACCAGTCTAATAATAATGTTGAGAAAAGAGAATTGATTTTACATCCGGTTTCTTCTTTCAGCCTGCGCCAATGAACAAACTCCTTTCCATGATCATCTCTTGTTTTTCATTGCATAGATTCCTTTCACATTTTCTCTTTTTAGCCTCCTAAGAACATTTAAACTTTTGCCTTGCCTCATCCATCACTAGTAGTTGAGTTGGCGGAAAAAAGTAGTAGAGCAAAAACCTTAGCTCCATGTTCTTCTTCCAGGTCACATGAGCTGACCAATGACGGTGCGTCATCTCCCTACTTACATACCCGGTATTTCAAGAGGGGATCCCCACTCGTAGCATTGATAATGTCAAGCGCTGCATATTTAAAATAACTCATTCATCAACCCCTTAGGTCACAAAGTCTGCGGTGTGCCTTTAAATACTGAAGTTAATATAAATAAACTAATTTCAATTAAAATGAAATGCCTTTTTGGACAATTTTCTAGCCAGTTGTACATAGAAGCTTCATAAGAAAGATTACATAAAAATCAAGTTTATAATGACGTAAATGTCTGGCACGGAAAGAGAAACAGGGAAATGCACAGCCTATTCAAAAGTCAGAATGATGTTGCTTTTGCTCCTTAAGACTGAAAAAGGCCAGATTTAATTAATGGAATAAAAAAAAAACACCCAAAAGTGACTCTTGACCTCAGTATATTTTGGGCCCTGCATATGGCCCTGTTCTAGTTCAAGCGTCACTGTACAGTCATGGCCAAAAGTTTTAAGAATGATTCAAATGTTAATATTTACAAAGTCTACTGCTTCAGTTTTTATAACGGCAATTTGCATATACTCCAGAATGTTATAAGTGATCAGCGTAACAGCAATTAATTGCAAAGTCAATATTTGCCTAGAAATTGAACTTTATCCCCCAAAGCACATTTCAATTTCATTGCAGCCTTGCCTGAAAAGGACCAGCTGACATCGTTTCAGTGATTGCTCCATTAACACAGGTGTGGGTGGCGATGAGAACAGGGCTGATGATCAATCTGTCATTATTAATTAAGAATGACACCACTGGACACTTTAAAAAGAGGCTGGTGCTTGGAATCACTGTTTCTCTTCTGTGAACCATGGTTCTCTCTAAAGAAACATGTGCAGTCTTTATTGCATTGCACAAAAATGGCCTAACAGGAAAGAGAATCGCAGCTAGAAAGATTGCATCTCAGTCAACAATCTATCGCGTCATCAAGAACTTCAAGGAGAGAGGTTAAATTGTTGCCAAAAAGGGTCCAGGGTCCTCAAGAAAGACCAGCGAGCGCCAGGACTGTCTCTTAAAAGTGTTTCAGCTACAGGATTGGGCTACCAGCAGTGCAGAGCTTGCTCAGGAATGGCAGCTGGCAGATGTGAGTGCATCTGCACGCACTGTGAGGCGGAGATTCTTGGAGCAAGGCTTGGTCTCAAGGAGGGCAGCAAAGAAGCCACTTCTCACCAGGAAAAACATCAGGGACAGACTGATATTCTGCAAAAGTTACAGGGAGTAAACTGCTGTGGACTGGGGTAAAGTCATTTTCTCTGATTAATCCCCTTTCCGATTGTTTGGGACATCTGGAAAACAGCGTGTTTGGAGAAGACGAGGTGAGCGCTACCACCAGCCTTGTCTCATGCGTACTGTAAAGCATCCTGAAACCATTCATGTGTGGGGTTGCTTCTCAGCCAAGGGAGTCGGCTCTCTAACAGATTTACATAAAACACACCCATGAATAAAGAATGGTAACAGAATGTCCTCCGAGAGCAACTTCTCCCAACCGTCCAAGAGCAGTTTGGTGATGAACAATGCCTTTTCCAGCATGATGGAGCACCTTGTCATAAAGCAAAGGTGATATCTAACTGGCTCAGGGAACAAAACATAGAGAATTTGGATCCATGGCCTGGAAACTCCCCTGATCTTAATCCCATTGAAAACTTGTGGTTAATAATCCATCACGGTTGGACAAACGAAAAACTAGGAATTCAGTCAAGATTTGGTCCAGAAGTTGACTGAGAGCATGCCAGGGAGAATTGCAGAGTTTCTGAAGAAGAGGAGTCAACACTACAAATATTGACT